CTTCAAACAGCGCCGCTGCAAAAGGTCCGCCTGATTCGACGCGCTGGAGTTCCATCCAGGAGGCCTTTGGGGCGTTGAAGTCACCTAACAGCAGGAGATGAGTGAAGTGTTAGTTGGAGGAGAGTTGCTCAAGGGGGGGCTCGATGGGCTACGGTAGACCACGCCGAGATGGAGGGAATCGGACCCGCGCAGTGGGATTTGGACCCATAGTGCATCGCAAAAGGGTGCAGGGGTGGTGTCAGAGAGGACAATCGGGATTCGTAGGGCCGCATGTAATTACAAAGCAACCCCACCAGCCCGCCCTCGTTTTGAGTCGGCTCGAAAAATAGAGTAACCGTCTATCGAGATCTCCGCGTCAGAGACATCTGGTGTGAGCCATGTCTCTGTGAGTGCGATTATGGACGGTTGTTCAAGGCAAGCTGACTGTTTAACATCGCCGAGTTTGTTGAAAAGGCTGAGGCACTTTGTGGACAAGCATTTCAACACCGTCTCCGCTGCCTCCGATGGTGAGGAGCCGAAAGTTGAGTGACCAGATTGGTTAGCAGACTTAATAGTTGTGCGCCGGGTTTGAGTCCAAGGCTCCGAAGGGGCCTCTGGGGCGGTTTCGTCTGTTTCATGTCTTCGTGGTTTTTGAGGGTGCTTTTCGCTTGCGAGGTTTTTTTCGTTCCGTGGGTGCCCGGTTTGCTCGGCCCATTTGGCTTTGGGGGACGAAGTCTTTTCCCCGTGAACGAAAATTTCGACCGTTGTTGTTTGTAGCTGTTTCAGCACCCCCATCTTGACTGTACTCCCCTGCCCATGCCAGGCTAGTGGCAACCGCGCCTACATTAGACAACGCTCACCCCTATGACCCTGCCCCTTCTCCTAAGCCTCCATGTGCCCACAATCCGTGCAGTCACACTTTGGTCTGACTGTAACATTATGGCCATGCCTAACGGTTTGCCGTCCACAAGTTGGGAATAAACATTGTTATTTTTAATAAAACGGAAATTAGGCCCAAAATTAAGCATTACTTCAACTGAAGTGCTGGGAGATCATGGAAACCTAACAACTTGCAGTCGATTCCCAGGTCCTTTGCAGCGTAATTTTCACTTGGAAGTAGCGTCGGAATAGTGCGTGGGAAATCTTAGGCTGAGGTCTCTCGTGACCTTGGCAGTTACTGTAGCCGAACGAACGGTATTGAACATTATCACCCCGAAGTATACACCTAACAAAACAGAACAACTGAAAACGTCACATTCTGGCCTCTGAAAAACTGTTCTGGTAGACCAGCAGCTATGAGCATCCGGATGGAATCTGAACTGTCGTTTACGTCATTCAGCAACTATGAAGCGAACTGTTGTTTGGGCTCGAAAGAACATGACACCTCTGCAGCGGAGACAGTCGATGGTTTACAAGGGAGACGCGAACCCACCGCATGACCTCTTCAACAGGCTGCACGGACGATTTGTCTGCGGCGGACCGCATCACTGGAATTCAGCATCAATACTATTTTCAGGGTAGGCAAAGAAGATACCATACAAGATGTGAGATACGATACTACCTCCTCTAAAGCGACCATCGGATGCCCGAGAATGTGCACTGTAATAGTGTAGGATAGCAACGTGCGTTAGAAGAGCTACGTTCGCTTCTTCATTTGACAACTAACTGAAATCCCACAAGGGATCCGAGTGAGACAGGCCTTTAACCTGGACTCTCCACTTGCAGTGCCGAAAGTCGTGTGCCACCGGACAAGCGCAAAGCAAATGATGATGGACGCATCACACAACCGGCACCAAACAAGGTTATATGGAACTAAGGAAATACTGGAATAAGCCTACTTTTCTGAGCCGCACGTACACTGACCTCTGGGAAGATATCATTGTTTGAAAACACCAGAAAGCACAGCTGCGCCTAGATAATTTTAGCACTTCAGAGGTTCCAACAACAGTTTGAAATCGTTCATCGCAGAAATCCACATCACGGAGCCATAATGTCTTGGCACGGATCATTAGAGTGACGCAGTCTTTTTCAGTGGACTGTAGTAAGAGCGTGGCGACTAGCGGGTTCGCATTACGTAGTGTGCGATAAAGTGCACCAGAAACTCTTAGACTCGCGAGAACTGCAGGCGGATCCCGGAAATGTTTGTTGATCGTTCCTCGTTACCAGGAGAGCGGAGAGTACCAGACAAAATGCCGCAAAATGCACTGTGGAAAACGCCGGTGGGCATCCTGTGATCGGTTGGACATCCAGGGAGACGTCCTCCCACAATACGGACAAAAAACTACAAAGCCAGACTTACCAACGTCTGTAACAACGTTACAAGATGGACCTTTTTGATAGTACCAAAGAATAAATAATATGATACGCAGCAGTGTCAGTACGGGCCACAACCCACTCTTTCAGAGCGTCAGATGTGTCAGCCTATGGTCACCCAGAAACCAATGTATACTAATTCCTGCGATTTTTATCGAAACTGATAGTCCGTTGATTAAACTGGAGCGCTCAGGTTCTGGATGGTTCAACTCCTTAAGCTCTCTTGTGCAGTTTCTAAGTAAAGCTGCGTCACTCTCACTCAGTCAGTGATCGAGCCTGCTCAGCTGTTGCACTCACTGCTTAAGCGTTCTTCCTCGGTATGTGTTTCAAATTAATCGCTTACTTTTTCTTCGTAGTCAGAATGAAGGACCGTAATGCAGTTCATTTTTTTATCTGCAGGCGGTATTACAGCAGTCTTACACTCACAGCCGATGGTACCTGTATCTTGACGGTACGTGCAAAGACCCAGAAGCCTCACTCATTTAAAGCTTTTTTGAGAGGTATAGCGCACCGGGCGGCAGTTAGTCACCAGCTAGCCATTATCGAACTCCACAAACTGATTGGCCAGATTTAGCTTTATTCCGTTGAATTGTAGTGTCGACAACTCAGACAAAGCCCTCATCGATTTTAGTGACGAGAAATTTTGAACGGAGCCCTAGTACGGCAGATACACCTTGTTTTGCAGTCACCCAGACCTGGAATATAGCGAGAAAACGCTGTCAACCTATCGAGATTTCATCGTCAATTCCACATCTCGCTCATCCATCATTCTTGTCCGAACCACTCCTTCATATTCAGCTGCTGCTGTGCAATTTACCCACAATGTGTTTTATTTATATCCCTGCAATCATTCAGAACCCTGAGACAACTCACGGACTTCAATTTCCGCCCAATGATAACTGCAAATCCACTGAAGTGCATCGAACTTCTCGGTCTCAGGTCATCCGCCTTTGACGCCGGTCATTGCCAAATAACGCTCCATTTGCGGGGTAGTGGCGCTTTTCACAACTCATCCCACCAGCCACTCAATAACTTTCCCACAACCAAGACTACAGTGAACGGGCCGTTATGCTAAGGATCGCTACCTTCGTGGTGACCATGAAAGGACACTAGCTGGGCTATGCCAGTCCTCATGAAAGAAAAATAGTAACCATCCCAAAATCTATGAACCCTGCCAGTTTTCGATCAAAGCAATGCAGTTTCCCTAATCATGTGCGATATATTCCAAAACGATAGATATTCGCCCCATATAATCAGACCGAATTCCAAAGAGACGATACTAACCAAACATATATTACTCGTTAATGCAATTAAAGGTGGGACACAGAACTCCATTCGTCAACTAGACCCATTTGCCCTGTTCTCTCCACCCCAACACGGCTTGAGTTTGTCAAGGGGTGTGACAGCCCAAACAATGGCTAATGAATGTGCAGAATATTTCTCAACCCCAAGGGAGCTTTATCCGTCCCAATGCATGGGCGGGTTTCCAATTGGATTCCATTCTTTTTGCGCCTCGGTCGGTTTACCGGTACTTCAAGGGCCACAACCTTCTCCGAAATATGGGCGCTCGATCCGGCGAAGCCCAATGAGCTGTTTTGTTTTTCGTTTTCCTGCAGACACCGTAAACTGGGAATAGACGATCATCAGTCAACCCATTAAGGACCCACCAGATTCATCTCCATGCTCTGTTCAATTTCACAGGAGGCACTTTGGTAAACCTTTTTAACCCGCAATCATGGGATCTACCCGGGGAGTGGTTTGTTCTCAATTCAACTGACCCTATATTGCAGAAGAACACTCAAACCGTTTAGCATTGCGATGTACAGGAAGATGAAGCGCGTGCCACTGAAAGGGACTGAATATAAATCTGGTCAATCCTTCGTGACTACTTGACCGAAAAATTTCCGAGACGAAGTCTCGCCAGACGGCTTCTAAGGTCAACATGTAGGAAGTAAGAATTACTGAGCCATTATCTGATTCAGCTGACCGTTACAACCTAGGCAGTCGTGTGCTTCACATGGTTGGAACGGGGCTAGCCACAACAAATCATACTGTAGCATCAACTGCAGAACAATAGGGTGTAACATCAAACATGAAAGAAATATTGTCCCTAGTTCGAACTTTTCAAAGATCGTACTCATTCCCGCTTTCCGGTTAGTCATCGCACGATTGTTGACTTGCACTGATAGTGTTCCACCGAGGAATCCGGTTGGAGTTATCTAAGCAACACCATTTTTCCCGTTTGAGCAGCTAGGGGGTCGCACGCACACAAGAGACTCTCGTTCGTACCCCTAGTTCTGACCCCAACTGTTCCATATATTTACGGTAGCTCTGTAGTGGACGACCAAACAAAAGTGACCATCAGGGAAATATTTCGCACAACGTAAAACAGGCATGTACTAGTTCATTCGTTCGACAGATGGAATGTGGAAGCAAAAATTGTTGATTAAATATGGACCAAGTTCAAGCACCAATGACGTAGGGGGGTTTAAGATTGCAGATTCTCAAATTTAAACAGAAAATAAATGGCTGAATGAGTGCTGGACGCAGCTGGGATTTACAAGACGAACTTTTATATTTAGAAGTACCATATACTCCCATACGGTGTGAATTTCTTATTCGTCTCCAGATCCGTCTACCCCATTGAGCTACACCAGTGAAATCTAAGGAAGTATACATAACGCCATGTGCAGCTTACGCCGCGCTGCTTACGTTATCATCATATTGTAGACCCGGGTGACCATGAAAGCATCAAGGAGAAGCATGTTTGTCTGATGTCCATAATAGTAGGAATTACATGGAAATAAATGAACGACTGAGACCCACAATGTACGTGGATAGTGGGCTGGTGAAACCTTATAACTACGTGCCACCTGTTCACACGGCGCACATATACATACGTATGCAGTATCCGAATTCTTTTTACTCCCTTCAGTGGAGGACGAGAAGGATCAGTGTTAGAGCGCGAATTTACTGATCGGAAGTCCTCGGTTTAAACCCCACCTCTGCCTCTCGACTTCTCCTGTCTAGGCTTCGGCAACCTGGCAGTATCCCAGCCCTCGTGCTTCATTCGTATGGCATAGCAGCTAGGCACCGAAAGGGTGCCACAGTTGAATGATTACTATTATTATTATTATTATTATTATTATTACTATCAACTCCCTTCAGCCGCGGGCGTAAAACACGAGAGTTACGTAAAGCGTGACAACAATTCGAGAAATACACTCATCAATCTGGTTGTAACAATTAATTCAACTGAATAAATCGTTTACGATATTCGAAATATTTTACGCAACCTAATGAGTAGTGTGCCTCTGAGTGGAAACAATGTTCCACCGACACTCACTCGCGGTAACCAACTGTTTTTGTGCACATCAGATTTCTCAGCTACAAACCATTGTAAAAAGTACAATGGCTGCAGATACCACAGCATCGTTCCGAGACTATAAACAGAACAATGGGATGACAGTCATACCTCGGAGCCGATGGCCTAGCC